AAGCTGACAAGGACAAGGCCACGAACATGGGTGCGACTCCTTTGTTCATGGCGGCTGCACACGGGCGGTTGGAGGTTGCGAGGCTGCTGATGGAGGCCAAGGCTGACAAGGATAAAGCCACGAACATCGGTGCCACCCCTTTGTTCATCGCAGCTCAGGAAGGGCAGTTGGAAGCTGTGCGCCTTTTGCTGGAGGCCAAGGCTGACAAAGATAGGGCCAAGAATGATGGCACCACCGCTCTGTTCGTCGCAGCTCGGTCCGGGCAGATGGAGGTTGCACGTCTACTTACCGGCAAGGACAAGGCGGCCGACGATGGCACCAGCCCTCGTTCAGTGCAGCTGAGCTCGTGCAGTTCCAGTTGCACCGCCCCACGATGCGTCCTATGTTGAGCCGCACTTACAGGTTGCGAGCCTTTCGACGACGGCAGCAACTGGCAGCAACTACCCGATCACGCACTTGCAGTGGCCTTGAGCTGCGTTGGTTGGAAATGAGATGCCCAACGGAAAACAACCCAGACCCAACAGTGAGCCGAGACACACATCCTGTGCAGATCTTCCTCCACCAACTACTGTAAGCCCATGTCGTTTTGCTTAAGCCCGCCCAGAGCCTAAACCGCAGTCCCTGCAAACCTACACCTGTAGCACCAAACTCTTCTAAGCTCTAAGCTGTTCTTCACAGCGTGTGTTTGTAAGGAGTGCACAATGTTTAGTAAGGGATGTATAAGGTAAGGGGGTTTGAAGGGTTTAATTTGGGGTGTTCGGGACTTGCTTAGCAAGGAGGGGTACCGTCCGGCAACGAAAGGATGATTTTACACAGGGTTCATTATTTAGTTTCAGGGGTCTATGCTTGCGAGCGTCAGTAGCTGGATCCCCCCTCAAGAGGAGCACGGTTCCTCTCCAACTGAGATGCAAAGACTGCAACTGTACATAAAACCCGGACGAACGAGTTAATATAGAAGCCCGAAGATTATTCTTCCTTTTTCAGAAGCATGCTGTATCATACGCTCAAACTCTGCGCTAATTTTAAAGGCCCTATACTATACTGTATCCCGCGGTTGCCGAAGCCTTACCTTGAGGGTACACAGGACCAAGTAATTATGTAATTGGGTTTAGTCTAGTCGATTTGTAAGCTTGGATTCGGGAGGGTATATGATATTGACTGTAAGAACTATCGAAGCAAGCTTTGAGGGATCATGGGACTTAACTAGCAAGTAAGGTTATAAATAACGTAACTTAGTCGTAATTACCTATCCCAAATTAAGGCACGCATAACCTTTCGACAGACATACGAAGTCCCAAGATCCTCCAAGTAGACCCTCAATCGTAAACCCGTCTGATCCCTTCAAGGAGCCGTATAATGCCCTATAGATCGGTTTCTTTAAGGGACCCTAGGAAGGAACCCTTTCCCCTGATCCTCCAAGTATGGAGCCCCTTCATCAATGGCTCACAGGACGTCTTCATGACCTTGGGGTGCTCGGAGGCTAGCGTGTCAGCATTTAGTATAGGGGCTTTGAATGCTAGAATAGGGTTGTGGGGGCTCCCTGTTAGAATTAAAGTTTGCAAGGCCCGTTTATTCGGACTCTCAGGTTTAGGATTGTTGCATGTTTTTTTGTGTTTGGGCTTAAGGTCCATCGGAGTTGTCCGAGTTTGAGGTGTAGCCTAAAGGGTTAGGGGACTTGAGGCTAGGTGAGCTCAGGATTTCGGGGCTAATTCAATATTGGGTGGCTTAGGGTTTAGAGCTCCGAACTTACAGAAAACCGTTTGATTCGACAAGATTATCGATTCGGGTTACTCAGAGGCTTCCAAGAAAAAAACACTGAATATGCAGATGGGCTAGTGTACCTTCTTCAGAACAAGTCTTTCCTGTTCCACAGTAAGGGTGACTGTGCTGACTCCGTTTTCTTGATGGTCCTGATCCTAGACTCCTAGACTCTAATTAGCAGCCCTAAGAAATTACCCTACATCTAAAGCCTGGATCATAAACCAGGCCTTCATGAGGGCTCCACTTGGAGGCCCTGTTGACTTAGCAAGTCTACTTAGTATCCCCTAGGAACCCCATTATAATCCCCATAACCCACCTTACTAACCCTGCTTACCAAGTCAAAAGGGCCTCCAAGCAGTTATTATGTTAGCAGAAGGATCTTTCAGTTCAGGGTTGCTTCAAAGGGGAAAAGGAGGGACCCTTACTGGGGACCCCTACCCTATAGTGGGCTATACCATGGGTATATAATAGCTATATTAAGGGTATATACCTAGGGGTCCTTATTAAGGGTCCCTCCTTTTTCCCTTGGATTGCTGTGAATTCACAGTTTTTCGGTACCTTACGTCATCCTCGGCACCCCTCTTTTCATCCTCAAGTCATCAAGCATGATACACATTTTTAGTGGGATACCGCAGTATATTGGTCTGCGCACGGGGAGTGTTATGGTAAATCTCAACTTTATGGATGTTGTCTTGTGTGCTCCTATGATTCCTGAGGCACTCCTGGACACTGCAAACCTCATAAGCCCTAAACCAGTACCTTTACTTAGAAGGGTTTTGATCTCATGGCAGATACTTGGAGGCCCTGTTGACTTAGTAAGTCTACTTAGTATCCCCTAGAAACCCTATAATAATCCCCATAACCCACCTTACTAACCCTGCTTACCAAGTCAAAAGGGCCTCCAAGTAAACCCTAAACCCTAAACCTTACCTACTAAGTCAAAAGGGCCTCCAAGTATGGCTTAAGTCTCCTGCCGAGGCACTCTCGCACTGCATCGCCGCCTTGGCCGCACCAGGCAGACCCTTGGCGCGCAAGAGGCATGGTTTAGGGGGGTTTAGGGGTTAGGGTTTAGGGGTTTAGGGTATAGGGTTTAGGGTTCAGGGGCTTTTCAGCGTCCGGAGTTCAGAGTGTATGATTGTATGTTTGCTGTTTTGTAAACCGGGCTTCAAGAAAGGCTTCTATTATGAGGAAGCCTGGAATGGCATTATAATATTAGAAGGTCTCAGGTTTGAGAGCTTAAAGTTCAGAGTTTGAATGTTGGGTATGGGGCAGTTTAGTTTTTGTTGTTTAGGTTGCAGTGCGATGTTCGTGTTTTTGGGGTTCAGGTTTAGGGTTCAATGCCTGCCAGTTTGACGGATTCCCAGTCCGGCTACACCAAGTTTAATTAGGACGGGTGAACAGGAGGCAATAGGGAAGTCAGCAAGTCGGGTTGGAGGAGAGGCGAGTCATCTGTAGTTTCCAAAGGTCGCTTGCTACTGACGCAGACTTCCTCATAAGCTGACCCTCGCCGAAAACGTCCCCTATCCGATGGCCAGTTTGTGGTCAGGTGTATATGGAACAGCTATGTACCACATGAGGGACCATCAAGTCTCAACTCCTTCAAACCAGTCGGCTGACTTGCAATCAAGATAAGGGCTTCAGTCGGCTTCATATGCATGGATTTCGTTCTAGGGTTCAAAACTTGTGACTGGGTTTTTTTGAGCGAGTAGGCCTGGATTTAATCGGCTTGTGCTGCAGTAGAACCCAACAAGTTGGAGCATCATTATCCTCTCGTCCTGCCCTAAACCCTAAATCCTTCTGGTAAAGATTCGCAATTTTAGCACTAAATCGTCCTTACTCGATAAAATATCTATACTTGGGGGCTTGTCTGGTACATCAAAGAGCCAATTCCCGCTCCGAACAAATCCAACATCGCATGCTTGAAGCCATTGTTCTTCTTCTTTAATTCTGACTGAGGCAACATGCTGCTGCCGCGACCAGGTTTTCCACTGTACTCGGTCCTGTGCCGGAGCCCCAGGCAACAGACTGCATTCGTGTCGAGGGTTGAGGGGTCGTTGTAACGTTGAGGCTTAGAGTACATGTCTATTGCAGATCTGGCGGTCCTTATGTCTCAGTTAATTATCCTAAACCCAGAAGTGCTAAGCCATAACCCGAAGCCATTTCGGCCCAAGCATGGCATCTGATCAACAGTTTGTGACCTGCTCTGTTCGTGCGTGGATGCTCGCATAGATCCTGCAGTGGTTGAAAGCGGCTATGTTTTCAAGACTCACTTTCTGGCACCGGGCCCACCTCAGCGAAGTGACGATTTCCCATGATGTTTCGCTCCTGGTTGCACGTATAGTCTCGTCAGTTTTCAGACTGATGAACCAGTGGATGTGCTCATCGGGAGGGTCCAACTCGATTGGCTCCTATCTGGCATCCCGCCATTGGCAACCATGCAGAGTCATGGGGGCCAATGACGTTCGGAATGGCCCTCTTTGCCGTTTGTTTTCTCGGCATGTTTCGTTCTGACATCGTGAAGCGATGTGCAGCACATGGACTGCGACGAGGTTTGTTTGAAGCAGCTGTGGGCAGCCTCGGCTTCGCAAGCAGAAAAGGCGACTTCGGATGAAGGCGGCACTCCGAAGTTTGTGGCAGACTTTCAGTCTGAGTTCGGGGCCTGCTGCTGAGCAAGCGGCCGTCTGTCGTGAAGGATGCTGCCCAAGTTGCGGCAGAAGGACTGTGTACTTCGGCATTTGCTCTCACCATATCAATGGGATTTTTTCTTCTGGATTGGACGTTTTTCGGGGGCTGGATAGCGTGCAGGGTGGGTGGCGGAGCATACAATGGCGTTGTTGGCGTGCACAATCTCGACATGCAGTTGGTTAGTTGGAGCGAAGCATTTTGACCACATGTGTGCATCTGTGCGAGCATGCGTGCAGTAAGTCTGCTGCTACAAGAGAGAACTTATCTTTTCTGTCCGCTTTGGTGCGAATACATCAATGAAGGACTTGAGCTCCACTCGGCCAATTTGGTCTCCTCGAAGGACTTTTGCAACATAGACGGAGAGACAAAGAACGGGGTATGTTTCTTCTTTAAGGGATGTCTCTTCGCACTGGGATCTAATCTATTTGGTAAACAGGGGCTCGTCGCTTCCAAGAGACTTTCGTCATGCACCCCCCAAGTGGCCTAGACTATCCTAGACTGTGCCTTGCAGGGCAAGATAGTCCCCAACACGGTCTTGGCAGCCATCTTGTGCCATGTGGCACAGCTGGGCCATCACCTGGGCTGCCTTGCCCATGGCGGCCGAAAAGTTGTCGCCAGCCTTGATCGTGAGGTTACAGGACCAGGTCCACGACGAGAAGCGTTCTATGCGCGGTGGCGAACCTGCTGCGCCAGCCACCGCCAGACTGCGCAACAACATGCAGGGCTTCCTTCCAACTTCGAGAACTATACGAGAGCGCATGAGAGCGCGTCAACGGATTGTGCCTGGTGCTTCAGACGACCACTGCACAAGTATATGACAATGTATGAGTCCCGCACACAATAACCACCACCATGGGCCATGACCATCATGCGAGCATTGGCCGGGTTGACTGGGCCGAAGGGCGACTGGAAAGCCCGAAACAACAGGAGAACGAGACCATATGCCTTTGGCCTGGGGGCCTGTTCATCGGGTCGGCGTATGCTGATACTAACATGAGTCATTGGCTCTTGGTTATGGAAAGGCACGTCAGAACGCATGACTGCTCGACCGGGCGCCTGTTGCTCTCTGTTCAATGAATGAACCCTTTTGATCCCTTTTGTGTCCGGCCTCTTGTGAACAAACCATGTTCTGAAGCTATGTTCGGAGTTCCACGACAAGTTATGATGCAAGAAGATCAAGGGAACTTATGTGCACCTGGCATTACGTGGTGAAGCCAAGTGGAGTTAATATAAACCTGCACAAGTGCAAAAGACAAAGTCCGGCCACTGGTCATGATGAAACGAGTTGAGGACGGGCATGCTTGTCGGCAATGATTGAAACATCGGACTCGAAGGAAGACTGAAGACAATACTCAGCAGAAAAAGAAATTTTTTCTTGCGGCCATCGTTTTATATGTTTTCCATATCTTTGCTGCTTCGGTTGGCTTTCTCTCACACAAGTGAATAAGCTTATTGATGTAGAAGCTTGGTTTGTCCTTTGTACTATGCAAACAGCACCATGCTAGTCGAGTTAGCACAACATCACGAATATGCCGACTCCAAATGCCTGAGTTGCCTGCCCTCTGTCGTCCAGGTGCGCTTTATTATGATTCGTAGTTTCACTTAGGAGCTCGACCGTTGGCCTGACCTTTTTTGAGCGGGTCGCATTGTAGCATACTCTTGACAAGCTTGGCTGTAGTTACCGGAAGCCCTGTCTATTGAGTTCCTTCGAGGTCGTTTTGCTAGTGGAGAATCACGAGCCTGCTGGTGTATATAGGCTCGTTTTCTAGATTCTACACCTGGAGATGTACTATTGTTATCGGCTAAATTACGACGTACGTGCGACCGACTACGGACCTCGCCTTGGCGTTTCCGAAAGTGAGCGCCTTGAACCCTTATAGCCTGAACTGAACAGATGAAATCTTGAAGCTTGAACTCTACACCTTATACCCTAAACCAACGCTTGAAACCTTACACAAATCTTATAAGCCTTGCACCCCGACAGACACGTTAGGTGAGTACCACGGCGTGGAAGTGCGTTATTATGACCTCCTTCCAGACTGCGGATGGCACCTGGGTCGCTTTGGGATTGCACCGGCGCGGGGTTTAGGGTTGTGTTTGTAGTTGTGTCTTGCATACATGGACTAAAGCAGGTATTGAGTTGAGAAAAGTGCTGATGTTCAATATGGTTTAATGTACAGAGCCCTATCCATTGCTGGTGTTCGAAGCTCGTGAAAACGACCCTGCAGTATCAAATCCTAACGAAAGCACCCTGCAAGAGCCGCAAACCCGAAGCTTAAGGAGAGATTCGACTTTGCAGTAGCTTGGAGAGTATAGGGTCAGAGAAGAGATTTGCAGGGCAGTGGTTTACTTCCTTAGCTGGGGTTTCAGGCATGTAATTAACCAATGTCATGTAATTCATGCTGTAGGGCTAAGGATTTTTTTGGTGGGAGTCCCGGTATTTACAAGATACGACCAGCGCGAGCACGGCCTGTTTCAGTGACAGCGTGCGTGCCGCGGAGCCGAACAAGCCCCCACACCTTAAAAGGTATGAAGCCCGACACCCTACCTACAGACCGCAGCCCCAGGCCGTAGGCTTTCCAACCCGAAAGCCCGGAACCTACAACCCGGCATAGCTAAACCTAAAATCTGCAAACCCTAAGCCTAACCCGTA